TAGAAATGTCATCTTCACTGCTTGTCTAAATCTCTAAAACACCTATATGCACACATATGCTTTACCATACCTATGTAATTTTTTTTAAAAGATAGATTTCCATGTATAATTTTAATTATAATTCTCAATTTCTAAGATTGTAATCAAATTGGTCTTAGAACAGTTGCTGTGTGTCAGATGTGGTAACATTATTGATTTTTCTAAGGAAAACAGTTCTAAAGACTGTTTTTTTTATGTTCTGATTTTCTTTTCTTATCCTCTAAAAGTGCTCTATGGAGCATTTTCATGACTCTAAAAATGCTTCTATTATAATAATTAGAACTCAGTAAAAATGTGCAAGCACCTTGGGGCTGCAGAATGAGAGGAAGGAGTTGAAATACGGAAAAGCCAGGAGTTGAGATGCCTGCTCTGCCACCAGCTATGTGACTTTGGGAGTGACTTTTGCCCACACTGGACTCAGTTTCCCTATTTGTAAAATAAGGATGTCATATGAGCTATAGGTAGTCTCTCAATTTTTTTCTATGATATTAAAGTGATTGCATAATAGTTTTTAAAGTCATAAATCATTGCTATGTAGTAATTTGAAAGAATGCATTTCTGCAAAACTATGATTTTCAGATATTTCTAAGAGTTACTGTTACTTTTGAATCTTCAACTTAAAGTTAATAAATATTCGAATTTTTATTTGGCAATATGCGTTAGCCTTCCCCTGACCAAAGGAAAATCCTGATTTTATACTTGTTCTTTCTTCTCAAACATTTCCTCTTCCTTTGAACTAAAAAGTCAAGGTCTACCATTAACTTTTGGAGAGCCATCCTAGCCTACTTTAATAGTGTTGAATAGTAAGCATGATTGTTAATATAGCAGAAATTCATTGAAATTCTACTTAACTTATTATTTCTCCAAGATAATCTAAAGAAGTAACCATGTTTCTTCTCTTTGGTGTACATATAAGCCAGACGCCTGAGGAAGGCATCTTAGGATGTTAGAAGACCACACAGAATGCATGGAAACCATGCTTAACGTTTATTTTAGTGACCACCACTGCAAGTACAGTTTGTCTGGGTAGTTTGGAATTTGATTCTTGTGATCTTATAGGTTTTGATCTGCTGCTACAGGTGCCTTAGTTTTAACCAAACCATGAAGGAAAGTGACATTGAACACTAGTGCAATCAACTTATTATGGGAGCTACTTTTTAAAAGAAATTCATTTAAAAAAATTGTTTTTAGAGACAAGGTCTTGCTATGTTGCCCAGGCTGGTCTCTCTGTCTCCCAGGCTGGAGTGCAGTGGTGCAATTATAGCTCACTGTAACTTGGAACTGCTGGGCTCAAGCAATCCTCCTGCCTCAGCCTGCTGTGTAGCTAGGGCTACAGGCATGCACCACCATGCCCAACTAATTTATAATTAAATTTTTTTTTTTTTTTTTTTTATTGTAGAGACAAGATCTTGCTATGTTGTCCAGGCTGGTCTTGAATTCCTGGCCTTAAGTGATCCTCTCACCTTGGCCTACCAGAACGCTGGGATTACAGGCCTGAGCCACCACTCTTTTCTTTGGAGCTGCTCTTTTAAATGTTCAAAGACAGTACCAGGGTGCTGTATTAGTTTCCTATTATTGCTATAACATTATCAGAAACTTAGTTGCTTAAAAGAACAAAAATTTATTGTCTTACAGTTCTGGGTCTTATGAAGCTAAGAGAAAGGTGTTGGCAGTGCTGTGCTCTTTTTGGAGGCTCTAGAGGAGATTTGTTCCTTGCCTTCTCTAGTTGCTAGAGGCTGTCTGCATTCCTTGGTTCATGTCCTCTTCCTCAGATGGCTCTGATCTCTACTTCCATCATCGTATCTCCTCCTCTGACTTTGACCCTCTTGCTTCCCTCTTATAAGGACTCATGTGATTAGGTTGGGTCCGTCTGGATTATCCAGGATAATCTCCTCATCTCAAGGCCCTTTACTTAATCATGTCTGTGCAGCCCTTTGTGCTATGTAAGGTAACATGTCCATAGGTTCTGGGGATTAAGGTGCGGTCATAAGTGGAGGCCATTATTCTGCCCACCACAGATCCTTTCTAGTCATTAAGGTTGTCATCTGGATGTCACCTCCTAAAAGAGGCCTTCCAGGACTATGTCAGACCCCCATTTTCCTTGGTCATTCTTGACAGCATTTCCCTGTTTTATTAAATCTGAGAATAGTATACCTATATTCTAAATTTATTTTTCATTTAATTGTTATTTTCTGCCTCTCTCTACTAGAAGATAAACTGAACTAGAACAGAAACATGGTCAGTCTTCTTCACCACTTTGTCCCCCACATCTAAATAGTTCCCAGCACTTGGAAGACTCTAAAAGAAGTTTGTTGAATGAAACATTCTGTATAGAATCTAAGGAAGCTTGCCTTACATGAAAACTATATTAACATACTGCTCTTCCTGTTACTATCAATAATGCAAACATTTTTACTAAATAGCAGTTAAGCATGTTGTCAATGGATTTCCTTTTGAATTTAAGTATATGGGTTTCTCCTTGGGACATGGCTGAGATCAATAAAATAAAATTTCAGATGTAAATGGAGCTATAGGAAAAAGAAAATACAAGAATTACAATTATTGCAAACAGTAAATACCTTGCCAAAAAATGATGGTAGTATTACCTTGATCCAAGCTGTAATCATGATACCAAGATGAATAACATCTTGTCTCTGCCCTTTTCACCACAAATTGGCAACATTGATATTTTTAATTCAAAAGAAACTGAGATAAGAGCTCTAACAGTTGTACAAGTGCCTAGGAAGAATGGAGGAGGAAGAGGTTCATTTTAACTGAGACATCAATTCTGGTAAGCAGAGCTTTCCTCTGGCTGTTTCCAAAACACGATCGTTAGCACTTCAGGAAACTCAAAGAGCTTTTAGATAGAAGGAATAATATTGTCCATTGACATGGCATTAAGAGCAACCCTGATGGAAAGAGTGCTTTTCTTTAAGCAGGTAATTTATAGCTGTTCAGCTGTTGTTCATTTATGCATTCAGGTGATTGATAAAACAACTCTCAAATGAGTCATTCAGACAGGTGATACTAATTGAGTACCTGATGCTAGTTAGTAGTGAGGCTCTGATATGATACCCACCTGTAGTGAGGAGCAGGCGAGCGGGCTGTAAGAAGAGGTTGGGAAGACTTCATAAAAGAGGGAATGTTATGTACTGAATTGTGCTCCCTACCCCCCAAATTCCTATGTTAAAACTCTAACCAATTTGACTATATTTGGATGTGGGTCCTTTAAGAGGTGATTAAGGTTAAATGAGATCACATGGGTGGGGCCCTAATCCATTTTGACTAGTGTCCTTATAAAAAAGAGGAGACACCAGGCATGCGCAGGTATAAAGAAAGGTCTGTGAAGACACAGTGAGAAAACAGCCAGCTGCAAGCCAAGGAGAGAGGCTTTAGAAACCAAATCTACCAACACCTTGATTCTTGGACTTCCAGCCTCCAAAATTGTGAGAAAATAAATTTCTGTTGTTTAAGCCAGCAGTCTGTAGTATTTTGTTACGGCAACCCTAGCAGACCATAGGAGGAACTTGATCCAAGTCTTGAAGGATGGGTAGGGTCATTTCTGGGAAACAGCTTTGATGAAGGGTTTGGTTTGGAAAAGGGCTTACCTTAATGAATAAAAGCCACAGAAAAAGTTGGAATGAACATAGTTTTTGAATTAAAGAGTAAAAGAACTGAGTTGTGGATGGGGTATAGGTGGGTGATTGGAAACGTATGCACCATTGTGCTGGGAGAGGGGGAGGTGATTGTGGAGGGTCTTGAAATCCAGGGAGAGGAGGTTTGTATTTGATAAAGTGGAAAATCTGAGACTCGCATTTGGGGTTTTGGTAAGGAGTCAGTTTTAGAAAGATCATGGGGATGTAGTTTGTGGCAGAGGTGAAGACGAAGGCCAAAAACTATCCAAAAATGGCTCCAAAAACTATCATAAAAGGTAAAAAAGAACAAAGTTTGGTTGGGCCTAAGCGCTAATTGGGAAGAGTTGGAAATTATAGTTAAGTGATTAATGAAGCTGAGAGGTATGCGAGTGGTTCTTCATCTTTCGGGTTTTATGAGGATTGGAGTATGTTAGGAACTGAGGTAGAACATTCTTCCACCCCTACTTTCAAAGATTTTAAGAGAAGAATTTGCTTTTCTTTCCAAAAAGTTGTATTATTGTTAATTAAACTCTCTCCTTTTACATAATCCCATACTTTACTATGTATGAAACCCCAAGGATGGTTGAGGAGCCCTTTTTGCCTGGCAGAATCCTGGGATGTCTCTTCTGTGATGGGCTGGTTCTCGGGGCCAGCAGCACCAATGGCCTCACATACTCTATGCGGTTGCTCAGATGTTTTCACCTCTAAAGTATTGGTTATTTTTTCTCATTGTAAGAATTATACATGTTTATTTTAGAAGTTTGTATACTGTAGAAACATAAATAAAAATTCCATTAATGTTTAGGTCTGTTTAGATGTAACTACTGTTAGTGTTTGGGGCATTAAATGGAATAGTTTTGCTTCCTCCTCTCTTTTCAGTTAATGTACGGGATTATTCAATATGCTAATATTAATGTTATTGGTAACACTACATTTTTTAGTTTACAGGGGGTGGGGAACCAGTGGCCTTGGGAATCCAAATTTTACAGAACGAACCCTTTTGGATTTGCAGGTTCCCCAGCCCTTTAAAGCTTGCTTTTAAAGGGGAGAGTCATTTAAAATAGAATAAGATGGACGAAGTGCAGTCCTCTTGTTTAACCACTTGAGATAAACCAGAAAAGTAAGGCACTTGTCCTCCTTGATTGGGTGGTAATTTACTTCAGATTGGTGAGTGCTTTGGCTTCTAAGAAGGTGCAAATTTTACTTTAATATGCTGTCATTTAATCTCCATATTGAATTGGCTTTGATATTGTAAATCTTTTAGAATAATCATAAGAAATACTTATGGATGAGTAATAAATACCTTTTATCTTTTTGATTTTGTAGTTGACTCACGTTGACCAGGCAAGCTTCCAGGTTGATGCCTTTGGAACTTCATTCGTTCTCGATGTCGTGCTAAACCAGTAAGTGTTGAGCTGCACTCACTTTTGTCAGACACACATTGAATCCACTTTTTTATCCTTCTGTAAAGTTTTTTTTCTTACTGTGTTTTACTTCATCTTCCTATGGCAGTTAAATACCACATTTAAAACTGTATCTATTGACTGTGTGTTATAAAGTCTGACAAATAACAGTAGATATTTATTTGAAATTGAACAGCTGTAACAGATTTAAGAATGTAAAATTGAAGGCAAGAGTTACTCCAATATTTTGTATAAGACTGTGTGACCTAAGTTTCCTATGAGTGAGAATAAATTATGAAAACAATACTTTGGGTATTGTAGTGTCTTAAGAACAGAAGAAAAGAGAAAATTATACTTTTTTTGATTAATGATTCAGAGGACTGGCTACATGATATGTGATGCTAAATAATACCCGGTGTCCATTAGATGCTTTGATTTGGATGTTGATTTCTGTGAGGTTTAGGATACTGAGATGATTCTGTACAATATAATTTTGGAAATAGTCATTTGTCTACCTAGAATTTTAGATTTGGAAGGGGATTTTGATAAATCATTGGAGTTAATCTCTTGCCTTTGGGTAAGTGTAGTGTTTAATCTGGTTAGTTATCGGTTTATTTTTTTAAAAAAAGATGTCTATCCCACTCTTATCGTGGACAAATGGGAAGAGACCAGGGTTCTGCCAGGTCTGTGTTTTTTCAGCTGGGCAGCATTGGGTTGTAGCTTTGCTGGAAGCAACTATACAACAGCTCAGGAAATAAGTTTGAGGCCAGAAGTTCAGACAAGTAGATTGAAAGTGAAAATTTGAGCCTGAGGCATTTATATTGGGGGACCAGCTAGGTGGAAGACTGCCAATTAATTTTTAAAAAGGATGTACGACGAAGGACTTAGGTGTGTGCTGTCTGGATAGGTACCCATTAGCCACTTGTGGTTATTTAAGTTTAATTAATTTAAATAAAATTAAAAATTTTGTTCCTTGGTTGCATTAGCCACATTTCAAATGCTCAGTAACCCTCCTTGCCCTCACTCCTCCATCTCCCCTATTACCTCTTCTCCTCTGCTTCATTTAAAAAATAATATTTATCACCATTTAATGTATATACTGACTCATAGCATTGCCATTTTTGTAGGTCAAAAAAGTTTGACTACCAGCATTGACATGGGGTCGTCTAATACTTGAGATTTTATTTATTTTGTTTATTGCTTTTTTCTTCCCACTAGAATGTAAGCTCCCTAAGGGCAGAGATTTTTCTCTCTTTGACTGCTGTATTCAGGAGCATAGCAGTGGGTCTAAGTTACTAAGGCTGAGAGGTCATATTGACTCAGAAACCAGAGGCTAGGATTAGCCCAGAGACTGAGATGAGATGACTGGATGAAGAAGAGTAAGCAGCAAAAAAGAAAAAGAAAAAAAGGAAGGTAAACATTTGGGACTAGCTTCTGAAAGCTAAGCATATATATCATGGTGTGATTTCGAAAGTCAGGTTCCTAGGTTTGTATTTCAATGATTCTTTTCCATCCCTCTTTTAAATCATTGTTCCTATTGGATAGTCCCCTGTGTTTTCTGGTTCCTGATACTTGTAACTCCTTGACTTTCAGTACTCAAAGAAGGGATATTCATTCCTGTTTATTCTGCCCAAACTGCCTCACTTCCTCTAGAGAAATCTTGAGTCCAAAAATTTACTGTTCCTGAAGGAAAAAGGCATGGCCATACTTATTTAAAGCATGAACCTTACTTAGAATACTGAGGATAAAGCAGAATTTCTTTTGAGATACTTTTTCTCTATTGGACATTTATCTCATTTCTATGCAAATTTGAAATGATAAGAATATGAAGGATAAAATAACAGCATAAATGGAGGGCTGAGAAACTTAGTGTGCTCATTTATATATGTGTATATTTTTTTAAATTTCAGAATATTATGGGGGTACAAATGTTTTGGTTGCATAAATTGCTTTTGCACTGTTTGAGTCAGTTATAAGTGTGTCTATCACCCACATGGTGTGCATTGTACCCATTAGGTGTCAATTTATTCCTCCCCTCCTCCTCCTACCTGTTGGATTTCCTATGAATGTTATTTGCATATGTGCACATAAGTGTTGATCAATTAGTGGTGAGTACATGTGGTGCTTGTTTTTCCAATCTTGTGATACTTCACTTGGAAGAATGGTCTCTAGTCCCATTTAGGATAATACAAGAGGTAGTTCACCATTTTTTTATGACTGAGTAGTGCTCCATGGTATACATATACCACATTTTTTTAGTCCACTCATGGATTGATGGGTACTTGGGTTGTTTCCACTTCTTTGCAATTGTGAATTGTGCTGCTATAAACATTCAAGTGCAGATACCTTTTTTATAGAATGTCTTTTTTTCCTTTGGATAAATACCCAGTAGTGGGATTGCTGGATCAAATGGTAGTTCTACTTTTAGTTCTTTGAAATATCTCCATATTCCTTTCCATAGAGGTTGTATTAATTTACAGTCCCACCAAAGTGTGCTCATTTTTTGCTTGAGATCTATATTAAACATAGGCTCTTTTCTTTACGCTATAACACCATGATGTGACACAAAAGTTTTTAATCTTATTTTTATGTAGAATGTTTTTATTTTACGGTTTCAGTTTGTGTATTGTCTTACGGTTCTGTTGGTTAAGGAGCAGGGTGGTGAAAAATCAAATGTGCTCCTTACAATATTTTTTTTTTCCTAAGCAATTCTGGGGTTGTAGAACATGTAGAATTGTTTTTTTTATTGGAGGAAAATTAAATTTTTTTTGTAGCTAGATTCCAGTTGCAGAATGGATCCTATAATACATATTTTTAGATTGGAATAGAAAGGAAAGTAGCATTACATAATATTCTTTCTTAATGTTCAGTAAATAAGATTATCTATAAATAGATGATACAAGAGTTCAGTGTTTGGGTAGTAATTTCTATAAGAGGGAGATAAAAAAACATGGAAAGGTTAAAAACAAGAAGGTCGGCCTATTTCTGTTTTGTCAAAATTATGAAGAAAAGGATGGGAAGCAATTTTTCTTCATGGGGTTATAGTTGTGAAATTTCACTCTTTAGGACAGATGTATTAATAAAACCAAACATATGGCCTGTCCTGTCCAAACTAGTCCTGAGGCTCCATCAGACCTTTCCAGAGGTCAGAAACCAATATTATACTTTAATGCAAAACATTCCTCAGAAAGGAAAAAGCCTCAATAAAGAGGTTTAACTATATTATCTGAGCACTTTGGGCCAAGTTTTTCTTGTAAATCTCTCTCCTGTTTTTCAAGAAGTGGGTAATTAACTGCCCAAACCAATGCAGGAATACTGAAAAAAATTTCATTTCAGCAGTACTCTTTAAACCTTTTAAAACAGGGTACCTGAAACCGCACCCCCATACATATAACACACAAACACAGAAGCAAACACTACATGTAGACTATGGTTATTTTATGATGTGAAACATACAACATAGTTAGAAGAATCTTTTATAGCCTGCTCTTTGGAAGGTATTCTGTTGTACAGCTCTCAAATCTTGGATGATCCAACTCCTAAATTTTGACTGTAATTTATAGATTCTCACCCTTTCATCTTCTTATTTCAATATCAACAAAATGCTTTCTCTCTATGATCTTTGCAGCAGTCTCTTTTTTCATATGTCACAGCAGAGGAGTGGGAGGACAACTGGGATCTAAAACATGACAGATGTCAGCAGATGGGGTTGCCCATGCAGAATGAGAGGTGGCGTGGGGGCAGGGGGGAAGCAGGAACAAGGTCAGACAAGGAACACCCAAGTTCTGTTAAAATGAGCAAATTTAGTCTTGTCTTCCCTCATTTAGAGGAATCGTTTGCCCATTAGTCACCTCTCGCTTTACTCTGGGACCCTTGGATTTGCAGAGAAAGTAGGAATCACGGTGGGTAAAAGATAGGGTATGAATTCAATTAGAATTGAAAGTTAGCTCTGGAAGAGTCTCATTTACTTAACCGTGCACTATTTACAGTGTGGGTGATGACAAAAATAAGTGATGAGGATAAGATTATAATTAAATGATGATGTTATGTGATGATAATAACAATAGATTTTTCACTGTTATTAATAACTCTGTAACTGAATATCTTATTCCACTAAATTTATTATGGTGAATATTCATATGTACATTTAATGCAAAATTATTGTGTGAAAGACAAATCTGTGAATAATTTGGGATCCTTCATACATTATGTATATACATATATACATATACATACAGATATATGTACACACACAGACATATATAAATACATTTTTTAAGCCCCTGGTAAGTGCTAAGAGCTCTTCTAGATCCTGAGGACTCAGGAGAAAGAAAGTAGTAAGGACTTCACTCTTAGGGAACTTGCATCTAGTTAGACAAACAATGTACATGTTGAATAAGTTAATTTCAGAGTGACAGTACCATTAATGGAGAGTGCCTCCTGTGAGAGTAAGGGTGCTGTTTGAACAATGGTTGTCAGGAAGTGACATTTGAATGTTAAGGGGTCCACAGACAAAGGGAACAGCAAGGGTCAAGGCCCCAAGACAGGAGAAAGCTTAGCATGATTGACAGAAAGGTGCCTTAGGAGGCTGGAACAAGGGGAGCCAAGAGAGTTAATAAATGAAGTTGGAAAAGTAGAAAGAGCCAAAATATCTAAGTCCTGATAGGCAACACAAAGACTTGGGATGAAAGTCTGAGCACAGGTTATTGATTTCTCCTATACCATTTGTTGCATTATTTATTCTTTCCCCCTACTGGCTTATGATCATTTCATTTAAATTATTAGATTCTGTTACTATATATGTTATTGTTTTTTTCAAAGCAATATCTTCTGAAGATTTATTCACTAATTATAGAGCCTAGTACCATCATATTATTTATTGTAGCTTTATAATGTGTTTTAATAGCTGATACGGAAAAATCTCTCATTAGTTTTCTTTTGCAAAATTTTCTTAGATATATTTGCCTTTTCTAAAATGGAAATTAAGAATAATTTTTTCA